CTTCCTTTGTGACAAAACCAGTATGTCCCATCGGAAACTGGAAGGGCCGCTTGGCTTTAAGAATGGTCCGAATTTTGGTAGTTGAAGAAAAGGCTTCATTTTCCCTCCTTGTTAGATAGCAATACTTATGGGATCACAGGATTTCCTCTGGTGTTCCGCTCGGCAGAAGAGAAAATCCAGCTTTCGGACCGGATGACCCTTGAGAGGTAAAAAGAAGGCGCGGGGGGGGGGGGGGGAGGAGGAACTGCTCTTGTTGCAGGTGTTTGCAGCTGGACATTGGCTGCAAACATCTGCAGCCCTGGTGCCCCTGGGAGGGAGAATCCCTGTTTTCCCAGCTTCGGAATTCTACCAGTAATTAACAAAAGCTTGCAATTGATATTCTGCTTTAAACAGATGGATTTAGGGATCTGGGAAGACTTTCATTTTTAGCGGGTTTGCTAAATCTTGTTTTCCTTCTCCAGTCTTCCCTTTTTCCGCTCTCCCCCTTTTCTTCCTTAGCTTTTACAGTTTTTAAAAACATTGGGTACTGTTTCAAATCTTGAAAATCTAGGAATGGGGGTAATGCTTGGTTTTGTTGGCGCCTCCCTTTCGTTTCAAGTTGTTGTTTCCTTCCATTGGAAGCTTTAAGCTACGCAGATTTCAACTCCCCCAAATTCCCCCCAAAAGCTTTTCTGGCTGGGGAATTCTGGGAGTTGAAGTCCGCACAGCTTAAAGCTTTGCCAAGGTTGAGAAACACAGGCCTGGGGTCACAGTTAAAGAGCGACCCCCCCCCCCACCCGGGGCACCGGCTACCCTTTCCCTTCTCAGAGCTGTATCTGGGCATTCCCTTCTCAGGCAGAAGCTGACCGTTTGCCCCCTCATCGACGGGGAGGAGCACCTTCGCCTCCTGAGCTTCCAGCACAACTTCATCACTCGCATCCAGAACGTTTCCAACTTGCAGCGCCTGATTTTCTTAGACCTGTACGACAACCAGATCGAGGAAATCAGCGGCCTTTCGACCCTGAGGTGCCTCCGGGTCCTTTCGCTGGGGAATAACAGGTAAAGAAATTGGGGAAAGCGGGGATCTTATGGCAGGTTTTATTTCCTGTGCGGAGTAGAATTCTGGTTTGGCTGCAGAGATCCAGTCTAGATCAACCAGAACTTTCTGGTTCGATGGTGCTTGTCTCCGAGAGCACTGAAAATGTCTCCCCGAATGGGGACGAAGCGATTGCAGCCAAGCTGCCAAGCAATTCGGAGCTCAAACCAACAACGTAACTACCTCAACTGAGCTACTAATATTCAAATGGCGAGAGATGCTTCTGTTTGGTGAGAGTGCGTTTTCAGGAGGCATCTGGCCTTGGTTTTTCCTTGAAGGTTTTTTCAGCTTCTCACCCAAGAAGCTTCTTCAGCGCTAAAAGAATTCCTGCCACCTGGCCACAAGATCCTTGAGCTCTTTCTCAGATCGATGCCATAATGCAGTGTTTCTCAACCTTGTCAACTTGAAGGTGTCTGGACTTCAACTCCCAGAATTCCCCAGCCAGCGAATGCTGGCTGGGGGATTCTGGGAGTTGAAGTCCGGACATCTTCAAGTTGACAAGGTTGAGAAACACTGCATTATGGCATCGATCTGAGAAAGAGCTCAAGGATCTTGTGGCCAGGTGGCAGGAATTCTTTTAGCGCTGAAGAAGCTTCTTGGGTGAGA